TGTGGTGGTGTATAGAGCCAAAGATGTTAGAATTGTGTCGATGTCCCAATATTTCTGGACCTGACTGTATTTTCTAAATACAATTTATATATAATTAATTTCATTAAATAACTAGATGACTTACATTTGATGTATGGGCAGAAAGGTAACATGTAAATATGTACATTTATATTGCACGCATTTTCAAATTTTGAATTCAAAAGTCTATTATTTCATCGCTGCCTCAAAATTTCCACCCACTCCTAGCTACCATTGAGATAATTTGTTCAGAAGAAATCTAATTCTGTGGACATTCTTCTCCTCTACTATTAGATGAAAAAGGATGTATTTTTCTGCGATAATTAACTATGCTCATAGTTACAGCTTATGATATACTGATCATAATCATTCATGGACTAGAGTATCTCCAACAGATTATTAAAATTAGTTTTTTTGCTTTGAACAAACTTTTTTAAAATATTCTTACAAGCATACTTGGAAAATGAGGATGCACAAACCTTGTAGAATAATTGCTTTAATAATTGTGCTTTAATGGTATTTTTAGCTTACTGTGGTTTGCCATTAACATTCAGTATGAACCTCTGCCTTCTGTACTCTGGCTGTACCTTACAATATTTGGGATATTTATGGTATCTATAAATACCATATATTATGGTATAATCAGGATAATAAACATTTTCTACTGAAAATAATTGCATAGCATTCTATAAACTCCCCTTCCCCTTCCCTATAATTCTCTGATCTGCCAAACAAGAGATAATTATTTCCATCCTTCCTATCCTCTAAAAGAGGGGAAAGCAGCTTGTCACCCTTAGACTCCAGCACCAATAACTCTTTAGGTCACCAATAACTCTGTAAGCCATATGGCCACAGAGGATAAAGGCTGGAAGTCATAAATATTTTGAGCACCACACTTTGATTTTCTGTGTTTTAGATGGCAGAGGTCCTTTACCATTTCCTTTCTGGATTGGACATTTGGAAATGTATTTCAAAATTACCCTGCTACTTTGGAGAAAAAGAACTAGCTTCTTGCTTTGCACTACACATTAGAAATACTTAAAAACTGTGACAACTTTTATTATTAAAGTTCAAGCCTATTCATGCTAAGCCAAAATAGAATAACAGCCTTAAAGACAACTTATTTACCCCAAAAGATGTCAACACACCTTAGGAAAAGGTAAACACAGATAAAAATCCTGTGCAGTGCCTGGCTTCTCACCTTATCAACCTAAGGTGAAATCCAGCTGAAACCAATCCTGCAGAGCTCCTCCTCTCCAATAAATGTGTACACATCTTACACTTGTATGTGAGCATATGAACGTGTCTCCAAACAAACTTGCCAGAAGCTATACTCCACAAAAGTGCCAGAGGAAAACAAAATCCCATAATTAAGAACTACTTTTAACTAGTAAAATGTACTGCCTATAAAATAAGGTACCTCCTCCATCTTAATAGCAAACATTCATCACATATATACAATTTTCACACAAAATACACCTGCACACAACACACATAAACACACCCTGTTCACCTTCCAACACAAACAAAAAATAATAGGGGAGGATTGAGATGGTGGAAGGGATGGCTGCATTGGGAAGGGATGAAACAAAACTGGATGAATATGAGAAGTTGTAACTGAACAGAAATGGAAAAAGAATTAAAGAGAAAGATCTACGTTGGTACTGTAAAAAGGTAAAAGAGCTACACAAGCATCACCTTCCAATCAAGAGCTAGACTTTAAGCTACTCCTCAAAGAATGTCTTAGTCTTTTGCATGTTTATTTATTACAAACATACATATACCACCTATTATAAGACCAGGCTGGTTTTCAGCAGCTTCCTCCATTCTATAAACTGTCAAAATAAGCAGGTTATTAGTAATAGTGCTACGAAGATGTATACTTACAAAGGTTTTATTAGCCTCATGGAGGAACAGTTAAAACAAGCAAGGTTCTCCAAATGACCTAGAAGTAGGGGGGAAAAAAGCAGTCTGTGTAGGTAGGTTAGAAATAGATAAGAACATTATACTTGTACCAGCATGGTATCAAAATAACCTTGTTCACATACTACTTGAATACTTCAGGCAGAAATAATGCCATAATTAGGATCAAGCACAAGAACTTATAATGGATTTTGTGAGAGCTAGCATGGCAAGAGGCCATTTCAACTGTAATATAAAAAATGCAGAGCTGAGCCTGATGAATTCTATTCTAGGAACAAGGACAATGGGTGTCTGAATCTAGCTGGTTTCTCCCAAAGGCACACTGTGCAGAAAGTTATTAATGCAATTCTTATGGGCACTATATAAACCACAACTGCCCTAAAGGAGTCTCATGGACCTAGGAAACCTTTCCCTGAGAAAGAGCACTAAAGCGACCATGAGAAACAGAAAATATGGTCCCTGGAAGTCCTCAGAATTCAAACCACTGAGACTGAAACAACAGCCTCTGATAGTGAAATTATAAACCTCTTTTAGCAATACTATGGGCAGTCATTGGGCAACTGTGGTTTACTTCATTTAAATATATTAGGTAAATAGGAAAAAACTCTGAGTCAAGTTTCCACTCAATGCTACGTAGGGAATTGCACACAGTTTTCTCAGCAACAATAGTGAAGTAGTTTGCTTTCTTCCATTATGGTTTTTTGTTGTTGGTTTGAGTTCCTAGACTAGCCTACATGTACATGACCAACATTTTCAGTAGATTTAATACCTTGTAGAAGTAACAATATTCTAGGGCTGGGAGAATCAAGCTACTATTTCCTGCCACTGTCTTATTAGCTGTGAGCTGCCTTTGATGCCCGTACAATTATAAAGGGAAGACATACATTTAATATATAATGTTACTGTGCGATTCACAGAGCTGACAAAAAATACTGCCATGGTGATACCATCTGTACCATTACGTTTTCTGCCAGGCAAACAGGCAGCTGGCGATTCACTTTTTAGAAACAAAGGATATGCTTTTTATTTTCCTGTGTTCACAATTCCTGAGCAAGCAGACATTTATTATCAGGAATATTCAACATATATCGGACATGAAAGAGGCAAATACCAGTCTGTGGGTGAAAAACAAAAGCCTCTGGTCTGGTTCGTAGTTGTTTGGCACCTCACTGCCCATGAACAGCCACAGATTCATAATTTACTGGCTTGGTGGTCCTGAAGGGCTACCCCAATTCTAAACGGAAGGCAGCTGCTCCTCTTCGGAAGTAACTGCCTTTAGTTATTTCCTTTGCCTTTAATCTAGTTTGGGTCGAGGCTATTTAAAAGGGGCGACCTAACCACCAGTCCGACCACGTTCCCACCCCTGAATGCAAACCAGAGGACGCGCTCTGCTCCCTCTATGTAGTTTTACTTATTTTGGGAGAGGGAGCATGAGACCGCGCGCACAAATACCTGGAGTTCACGAATGTCCCGAAAGGGCCTTAAAAGCCGCCAGGTTTTTAAGCCTCTCGGAAGGGCATTCCAGTCAGACGCCTTCTCTCGCCTCAGGCGTGAACAGATTACCTGAGAATACCCCGGAACATCCCATAATAGTGCCTCAGACAGGGCAGCCCGCCTGGCAGAGTTCTAAGGCCCCCACGCGTCTCGGGCCGGCTCTCCCTCCCGGGGCTTCCACGCGCCCTCAGGCCTGCCTCGCCTTCTCCTGCCGAGCGCCCGCCTGCGACGGGCAGAGGCGCCTTGGTTCCACACCGGGAGGCCGCACCTGTCCTCCGCCCTTCCCGCCCGGCGGCGCGGGCCGAG